GTATCAACATCGGTTTTCTTAAAGATTAATAAACACACCTTGCTGGCCTGACTGCGGGTTATAGTAAAAAAAAAAAAAAATTAACTTCTATCTTTTACTAAATTTTTCAAAGTAGTAAAAAAACTTTTTTTAAAAAAAAGTTAAGATCTTAAAATTTTTATTTTAGTTAAATAAAGTTAATATATTATTGATTCTATTATTCTAATTAAGTTATAAGTTTAAATCTTATAGGTAAAAGACATAAATAAGATCTTTTATCTTAAAAACTTAAGATAATAGATTCCTTAGATGATATGTAGTTCTAGTAATTAATAAATAAATTTTTTAGATCAATTAAATAAAAATTTTTTGAGAAATAATTATTTACTTAAATAAAAATCTTTTGAAGAATTTTAAATTTTTTTTTAACTATTCATCATTTCTACAAAAGATTAATATTATTTATAAACTAGCTTAGAGAGTTCTTTAAGTAGTGTAATTCTTCAACTAATAATGTTCATATGAAAGAAAAAAAAAGAAGATAAATCATACCACGTGATTATATTCTCTTGGTAAGTTGGCGAAACGTGACACTCTGATTCAATAAAACAATGGTGACATGCCAAAAATGCCACTGATGATCGTAAATTGTTATTACACTGACTTCTTTAAAGCTTCAGCATGAATTCTACACCCGTTTCCCTCGAGGATCAATCGAAGCTTCTTGAAGAGGCACTGAACGTGGTTAAAGTTCAGGCTTTTCAGATGAAAAAATGTCTGGTATATAAATTTATTAAAATTTCGCGAATTACGACTGATTGGATAAATTCTCACCTACAATCCTCTTACTTAAATAATGAAAAAGGATAGTGGAAAACTCATGGACGGGTTAAAGCATTGCTCAACGATGCTAGCCGAATTGCGGACGTCTGCGTTGACTCCAAAAAACTATTATGAACTTTGTATCTTTTTAATTAGATTCTTCGTTTGGGGAGGTAGTATTTAAGATAATTTAGATTCCTGAACTTTTACTCATGAAGACATGGCAATTTTTGATGCTCTGAGACATCTTACCAATTATCTAAATGATGCACATATTTCGGGGAAGCATCACCTTGCCGATCTTTATGAACTAGTACAATATGCCGGAAATATAATCCCACGTTTATACCTTATGATCACGGTCGGTAGCGTTTACATGTCCCAGAAGGATGCGCCAGTCAAAGAGATTATGAAGGATATGATGGAAATGTCTCGAGGTGTTCAGCATCCAACACGCGGTTTATTTTTGCGACATTATTTGAGTGGGATGACAAGGGACTCCTTACCTATCGGAAATGATAATGGGTAATGGATCAACTTTTTTGATGCATTAAAAGTTTATTTGAATTAACATATAATTTTTGATAACATTCATTAAAGTCCCCGCGGAAACTTGCAAGATTCAATCACATTCATTCTTACCAATTTTATCGAAATGAATAAATTGTGGGTTCGTCTTCAACATCAAGGGCACTCTAGAGATCGGGAGAAAAGAGAGATGGAGCGAAAAGAATTGAAAATATTAGTAGGAACAAATCTGGTTCGTCTAAGTCAACTAGAAGGAGTTGATTTAGCGTTGTATCAACAGGTGTGTTATTTTCTCTAATTCCTTGGATCTTTTTTTATCGCTTCCATTCCTTCTCATCACTATTCGGAATAATTTCAAAGACTATATTACCAGCTATCTTAGAGCAGGTTATCAATTGTAAAGACGTTATTGCTCAGGAATATTTAATGGAAGTCATTATACAAGTAAAGGATTGAACTTTCTTACCATAGAACTTATTTGGTTTTTATGTTTATAGAGGATGTATTGTTTAATTTTACAGGTCTGTTATTTTAAATAGGTATTTCATGATGATTTTCATTTGCGAACTCTTGGACCATATCTGTCTGCCACTGCACAATTACACCCGAAAGTTAATGTTAAACAAATAGTAATCGCCCTTATTGATCGTCTTGCTGCGTATGCTGCTCGTGAGGCAGATTCGGAACCACCAGAGGTGATTAAGCGGCAAGAAGAAGAAGCTGCCCGAAGGTTAGCCGAAAAATTGAGAAAACAAAGAATAAGTGGTTACCATGATGAGAAAGAGGAAAGTGGATTCACGGAAGAGAAAGGGGAAAATGAAGACGAAGAAGAGGATGGTAAAGAGGATGAATCAACGTTGGAGAATCAACAAGATTATTCCGAACAACCAGCCCAGGAACCTGCAGTAAAGAAATTCCGTGGCATCCCAGAAGATGTAAAATTGTTTGAAGTATTTTGGGGTCAAATTGTAGATTTAGTTAAGGTATTGAGTGGACCATTATTCTATTGATTCTAGTTATCAGCTTTTTTAATAGCGTGAATTAAATCTTATATCATTAGGCGCGTCCTGACCTGTCGATTCAAGATATTACTGCCTTGCTAGTATCATTAGTCAACCTTTCACTAAGCTGTTATCCAGACAAGATTGAATACGTCGACCAGGTCATTGAATTTGCTAAGCAAAAGGTTTTAGATTTTCACAACAGGTACTTTACATTTGGACATCTCGAAATCACGCCCAACTATAACTTCTGAATCTGACATATATGTATTAAAGTCCAGACCTACACAGTTCCGTCGCTACCTCTAATTTACTTAACCTTCTCTTGGCTCCAATTAATTCTTACCTTACAGTCCTTACAATTCTTGCGTTACCCAATTATGCATCACTACTTTCTCTCCAACCATATCAAACACGTCGTACTGTTGCCCATGCTATTGTTTCTTCAATCCTTAAGAAAGAAACTTTGGTAGAAACTCCTGAAGAAGTTAATGGTATCTTGGATCTGTGTAGTGTTCTTATTCGGGATCAGAAGGATGCGACCCTTTCAAGTCCATTCAGCGGACTTACTAGTGGGAAAAACATTCGATCAAACGGAAATCCGCAAATGATGGATCCTGAAGAATTTGCCGAGGAACAAGGATGGCTCGCTAGAATCATCCATATGTTCAAAAGCGACGATCCAGAAAATCAATTTATGGTATTGCGAAAATTATTAGTAAAATCAACAAGAGAGGTGATGATTTCTTAAACAAGCTAATCTTGTGCTACCTTTGAATTTAGCTTCTCTCCACTGCTCGCAAACAATTTGCTGAAGGTGGAGAAAGAATAAGATATACATTTCCGCCCCTCGTAATCTCGGCATTTAAGCTAGCGAGACTCTATCAAAAATTTGAAGGACATGTAAGTTAAGGTTAATTTTTCAAACGCAAAATTCATGGTGTCACTAATTACGCACATTGGTTAAAGGATGAGGATTTGGAGAAGAAGGTCTCTAGGCTTTTCCGATTCATTTATCAAGTGATTTCTATACTTTATAATAAAGTCGAGTGTTCCGATATATGTTTGAGGTTGTTTCTGCTCGCAGGACAAAGCGCCAATGAGTGCGGGTCTGAGGAGATGTGCTACGAATTCTTTGTACAAGTGAGGGTTTTTTTTCCTTTATTTACCATCAGTCAATTCATCAAAGTATTCATCAATTAATCAAACATTAAATTTACAGGCGCTTACTATTTACGAAGAATCTATTTCGGAATCCCGTGCACAATTTCAGGCCATTACCCTCATTATAGGCACATTACAAACCATGAGAGTACTCAGTTTGGAGAGTTATGATAGGCTTATCACCAAATGCGCCTTGCATGGTAGTAAATTGATCAAGAAACCGGATCGGTGCCGCGCAGTTTATCTTTCTAGCCATTTATGGTGGGCAACTGAAACCGAAGGACGACTCAATAAGCCGGGAGAGGTAATTTATAAGTTGGATGATAATTCGTGTCGTTGTATATATATATATATATATATATACATATTATATTTACATATGTATTTTTTTTTTAAAAAAAAAAAAAAAAATCATTCTAGGAACCCTACCGCGACGGTAAACGGGTACTCGAGTGCCTACAGAAAGCTCTCAAAATTGCAGACTCCTGTGTTGATTCTGTGACAAATGTGGAATTATTTATAGAAATCTTAAATCGATATATATACTATTTTGAAAAGAAGAACGATGCTGTGAGTCATATATGTTTGGTGTCTCGGTATTTTGTGTCCATAGCCTTTTAATTATGACTTAAATCAAATTCAATATTGCATAGGTTACTGTTAAATATCTCAATGGTTTAATTGATCTCATCAATACCAACCTCACAAACATGGATAATCCAGATCAACACCCTACATCATCTACTTCGTCGGCCCTTGTGGAACCGGAAGGCGACATTTCGGAATTCGTTGTCCGTCACTTTAAATCCACGTTGTCCCATCTTAATACGCGTAAGGATACTGTCCTTTCTGCCAGAGCTCAAGGTGAAACAGATCTGCAAAGATACGATAATATTGATACAAATATTTCATTTGAAAGATGAACAATTAATAGAACTAGAAAAAAATGTGTAAATATGTTATTAATTAGAATGTTGTTCTTTTATTAGGATAGTCAGCTGTTATAACTCGAGATATATTTATTTAAAATTATATACAATTATGTTGTTTGTTTACTTACATTTTCGAATGTTAACATTTTTTATTAGGGTATCTTTCAAATGTATTTATTATAATTCTCTATTGTATAAATTACAAGGTTTTTCTGTAATAATTAAAACTCGGATTTTTGATTACAAATAATAGAGTAATTTAGAGGTTCTCTTGATTATTTTATGAAGCAGAAAATAAATAATTACAATGAAAAAAAGAATCAGAAATTATTTCCTAGATTTTCGGCCATCCCTTTCTAATTTTGCTTTTTGTGCCTCAGCTTTGGCTAGTCATTCGGCAACAAGAAATAGAAGGGTAAGTAACGGGTTAATTAAACGAGCTATGTACGTTTTTAATGAACTAACCTTCGGCCTCGGCTTTTCTCTGTATGGCTGCTTGTTCTCGTTCTTTCTTTATGACCGCTAGTCGTGCTAAATCTGCCTTGGCTTGATCCGTTTTACCCTCTCGATGGAGCTTCCAGTATCGTTGCTTGGCAGCCTCCTTCTCGGCGGCTTCCCTAAAGGGAAGAAATGATATAAATGTTAGATTCAGCAGAAACATGAATCTATTTGAAATATGTAATTAGATGTACCTTTCTCTTCGGCTCATTTCTCGTGGAGTATTTGAAATTTCTGACACTTTTAAGTTATCTTTTTTACCTCGATTTGGATTTTCTATCTCAATTTCCTGCGCATTTCACAGTGATTAATACAGGTTAATGACAAATCATGCAAGTTAGATATGTGTTTGCATACCACCGCATCTTTCTCTTCCTCCTTGCTTTTTATTTCGGATCCGGAGGACATAGAATTAGATGCGTTCAACACTTTAATATTTTGCTCAACTCTTTCGCTTTCATTTTCGCTTCCGCTTTCGGAACTCTTTATATCCTCGTTTCTCTCTTGATACTAAATTAGAAGAGAAAAGGGAAAAAAAAGAAAAGGTTCTGTTGTCATTGAGTACAAGAAATTCGCTAGGATCGCTAGCAAAATAATCTAAAAAATTTACCTCCCATAGATCCCCACCCTCTACGTCTTCTTTATTTGAGAGGTGCCTCGGGTTTGTGAATCGATGTCCTCCACCGCGGGCAGGCTTTCTACGTTTGTTATGACTTTTGGGTGGCATATTGAAACTTGATTGTTGTTGATCAACACAAAAATTGATATTGTAAAGTTAACGTATCGTTCGTTACACCAAAAAAAACATGAATTCATAGTCACATGACATTTTCATTCATGTGATAAATTTTACGCGACAATAGTTATTAATTAAACCTAACAACCAAGTTCCCTAGATGAAGTTGTTTACCCGTTAAAATGATTAAAATGTTAAAGGTTAAACAAGAAGAAGATGAAAAATTCATCAAATTCGCCGTAAGTTAACATTCATTCGATTCGTTGAACCAAGACACATTGAATTTGTGAATTACCAAAATATGAAAAGGTCGGCGAAGACTATGAAAGAGAACGGCGTGAACGAATTGAACAGAATCGAGAAATTCTGGCAAAGTTAGGGTTAGACGTGGAGTCCTTACGACAACTCAAACCTCAGAAGGTGAAACCGAAGAAAGAATTTCAGGTGACGACTCAAGATATGCAAAGACAACAGCCAACACGTCGAAGTCCACGCATTCAAAAGAAGGCGAGTAGAATTCAAGGTTCTTAAGTGACCACGCGAGAATGCGACATCATATCTCTAACTGTGGTTAAATTTATCGAACGAAATCCTCATCACCATTAGATTCCTCGCTACGATTTACGCGTCAAAAATTATGCACCACGTGTTCATCGTGGCCACAAGCGAAAGGCTCGTCGCGTAAGAATTGCAAAAAGCATAATTTAATATCTAGGTGCCTTGGTTGCATATTAATGAATCTGTGAATGAAATAGATTATTAATAACAAGCAGCCTAGTGGTCGAAACGCCCAAGGGCGTAGAGTTTACGGGGGTAGAATTTATGACTCCGAGCTCGGAACCACGTGCCATCAATGTCGTCAAAAGACAATTGAAGATAAAGTTCAGTGTACAGTAAGTTTGTCCTTTTGGTGTCAAATAAAACGAACTCGTGAAACAAATCATTCTCATCAAAGTGATTCATAGAATGCACTCGAAAACGGTTTTCTTTGTAAAGTGATGTTGGACGAACGTTGCCTCATCGGGAGGTAAGTTTGCGATATGAAAAGTGATTTAAATCACGCATACCGTAGATTATTGTGTTTATTCCTTTTTCGCGTGTCAATCCGTTGCAAAGATATGGTGAGACTTTGGAAGAAGCGCGTAAATCTGGTGAATGGAGCTGCCCGAAATGTCGTGGAGTATGCAACTGCTCATTTTGCCGCAAGAAGAAAGGTCTCCCTGCGACGGGTATACTAAAGTATCACGCCCTGGCCAACGGATATACTTCCGTTATGGATTACTTGGGCGATAACAGAAGAGCAACAGAGAACTAATAGAAATGAAGCTTCTTTATTGGCATGAAATACAAATCATTCATTCTTAAATAAGGAATAACGTGGAATTAAATAAAGGTTCTATTAGAATCGATGAGATTTTTCAAATTTTATCATATCTATATTACGCGGGAAGACGCATTTGTCAACCCAATCGACAAGAAGTCTCTTGATTTTATAAATATTATCCTCGTCCCGGTTAACTTTACGAATGTAGTGTAATGCACACATTAATGTCATTTTTTTTGGCGTAACACGTCTTTCCTTCATCAATTTTATTACATCTAAAATTTCGTTGTTGTAATTGTTTATCCCTAACAGATTAATGTATGCATAAAAATTGCGTTCCGAAATCTCGCTATAATTTCTCACCAAATTAGCAAAAAATGTCTTGCCGTCGATTGCGCGGCCATTGAAGGTGCAAGATTCGAGGAAAATTGTAACACTGCATTCATCTGGCTTAAGGTTTGGATCTATAAGCAACCTATTGTACAATTCAAATACCCGATCAATTTGTCGCTCCCTATTGCAAGCGTCCATCAGACAATTGATGCATATTGTGTCAGGTTGAATTCCCTGTGCCAACATTTCATCATGAATTTCGAAAGCTTTTGAGAGCATTCTGTTTTTGGCATAGGCGTCCATGATGGAACAATACGTATGTTCATTAGGTTGAATCCCTGCCTTCTTCATGTCATCAAACAAATGTAAAGACGTTTTCAAGTCTCCCAATTTTGCCGAGGCAGAAATAAGAACGGTATAGGTGTACACGTTTGGTTTTATATTATTCTTTAGCATGTCCTGATAGATTTGTATTGCTTCAACGAAATTAAAGGCTTTCGCCTTGGCGTGAATAAAGGCTGTATATGCTACGACATCTAGGTCGATTCCAGACCTCTTAATGTCCCTAAAAATCCTATCCACAATTCGCTCATCATATTGTACCTGTATCGTCCACGCGACCAACAAACTGGTGTATGTGACCAATGTTGGTGACACATTGGATTTCACCATGCGACGAAACCATTGACTGGCTTCCCTATATCTCTTGGACCTCGTATAGGCAGTTATCAGAATTCCATATGTATAGCAATTGGGTTCCACTCCCATGGACATCATGTGGTTGAAATAGTGATCGCACAAGCTTATGTTCCCCGTTTTCCCAAATACTTCGAAGAGACCCGAATACGTTCTAGCATTTGGCATTATGTTCGCACGTGACATATCATTGAACAGATCTATTGCTTCCTCACTCTTACCCGTCTTCGCACAAAGCTTCAATAATATATTGTAGGTGACCCGGTTGGGCGCCACATTCTTCCGTCTCATCCTCTTTAATAGCCAGTAGGCTCTGTTGTAGCATTTTCTCTTGACGTATCCGGACATCACGGTATTGTATATTTCCACCGGTAACGGTTTATCAAAGTATTGCTCTGCGGCAAACAATAGCTCTTCCGTTCCCCTGATATTCTCTTTATTTAGAAGTGCCAATATCAAGCTAGACAATACCTTGAATCTCGGTAAATCTTCCTTTTCTATTATGAGCTCTTTGAACCTGTTAATTGCCTCATTTAATTTAAGAGTTGCCAAGCATTCCATGACGGACAAATAGTTTGTCAACCATCTACCATTTTCTCTTGTTCTCAAGTGCGAAATTACCCTTCTCGCTTCCTCCAATCTTGATGATTTGATTAAATAATACAACAAATGAATTTTGAATTTGAGGGGTAGATTCGCCAAAAGTCCATTCTCTTCTTGTTTCGTGTAATAAACCCAAGCTTGATCTATGTTTTCGGAGTTGACATCGTTGATATCATTACCATTCTGCTCAACAAGTGACCTCTCTGATTTCCTTGATGTTTCCAGGTACTGGATTAATTCTTCTTTTGATATTTCTTCAATTATGTCATGCTCTTCCAGCATATTCTCGGCTTTTAACATCAAGGATATTGCGGGGTCACCTAGCCCAAAGGATATTTCGGAGTAATGCTTATTGAACATAAGGTGTATGCTTCCAGGCTTCCTAGCCAATAATAAAGTTCTGCCGAGGTGTGCAAACCTAACTTGCTGGTAACGTCCGCGTGCAGATTTGAAATGTGGGACACCGAATGGCAATTCAAGAATACGTTTGAGGTGTTTCCAACAACAGTTATTTGGGATTTGATGTTGTATTGACTTTTTGAAAGTAATTATGCCAAAGCTAATTTTTGACAGTGTCATTTCAAGGCGGGCTAACTTTACGAATTTATCTCATGATAATCTCAGAATTATAGTTACAGTATATACCCCGTTAACTGGTAGGGTACACGTACCTTAATATACAGTATGTACAGTATATAAAGTGTGCATATACAGTATTTATAAGAATAGTAGATTGTTTATTAAAGAAAAAAATTTTTATATAAATCTTTTTTGCCTATAGAAAAATATCTATATTAAATATAATAGAGAACTTTTAAATTGTATTTGAAAAATAAATTATATGTATATATATATATATATATATGTATATTTTTTCAATTGCAACTGTATATTAAATGCGAGCTTTATTAAGCATAATATCATACATTTATATATTTCTATATATACAGTATATGCAAATTAATAATAACTTATTATAATTTGTTCTAGTCAAATCTATTACTATTTCTTGAGTGGATAAACCTAATTAGGAATTGAATAATTAAATATAGTTATCAATATTATGACTAGGCTAGTTAGTAATAAGATTATAAAAATTTTTTATTGATTTATTAATTCAATCTTTTTATTATAAAATATTTTACTAAAACTAAATTTTTATTTAACTTATTTGTCTCTAAAAATGGATTTTTAAAGAAAGAGACAAGGATAAAAATCAAATGTTATTCATTAGAAAGCATTAAAATTTTTAAATTAATAATTATAAAAAAACTACTTCATATAATTCATTATTATTATTATTATTATTATTATTTTTTTTTAACCGCAACTGGTATTAGATGCAAGCCTTTTATTAAGAATTATCTTAAACTTGGACCTGAGTCCTTTGGCATGATACCAATCATCTCTTACAAACTATATATCTCTATATATATGCAGATTAATAATAACCTATCACGGCTTGTCCCAGTTAAGCCTACACATCATTTCGAAAATAAGGCAGACTCAACTAGGAGTCAGTGATTAATAACAGCAAAATGGTACTATTGATATAGTTAGCACATCTGTTTACAAAAGGACTTAATATTTATACTAACTTATATACTAGATTAAATCCTCAAGGGTTATTTAACCACTCAGATACCCTAATACTTTTTACTTAAACCTCAGGAAGGATTTCTTTCTTCTTTGTCACCACCTGCGGCATTACAAACAAATCCTGTTCGGTAAGTTTTTCATTTAAGTAAGCACCGTATTGGGATATTTCAAGCTAAAGTAGTTAAGTGACGGTTTGGTTAAAGAGAACTGGTTTTTTGTTGCACTGGGCCTGAAAACCAGTTTGGATCAAGATATAGGCCATGGATCTTTTCTTAATAGGGGCCATGATCCTAATAAGGCGTGATCATCCTATGCTGATCTTTTGGAGAGGGTAAGCTGACCATGGTTTTTGGTGGAATTTTGGGAAAAAATTAAAACAAGAGGATGTCCCATTATCATGTTCCTTGAGTTGAGTGATGTGGTATTATCAAGTATTCAAAGCAAAAGCTCTCATCTAGCTATTCACTTCTGACCAATATAATAGCAATCTAGGCCCTCAACAAGTAAAACCTTATACTTTTGGTGTTGTCAAATGAAATTCCCACCATTACTATCTCTTCTCTATTCATATAGCTTGGTAAAGTAACTAGTGATTATAGAACGGTATGTCTAGAGTTTTGAAAGCGTAGCCTCCCTTGCTACAAATTTATCTTTCAATCATAAGAAGTCTTGTTTTAATCTTTTTTATGTTTGAGCCCATTGTCTTAACCAAGAAAAAGCCTTGATGTACCATGGGATTGATGATATGGTTTGGTGAAAAGAAGAAATAAGAAGTCTAGGAAGAAAACCTTGAAGAAAGAAAAAGCTATCTGTCAGCAGAAAAGATATAAAATGAAGGGGTAAGAGATAACAGGGGAAAAAAAAAAAAAAAACATGAGGGGGAAGGTTAAGGAGTTGAGGAAAAAATAGGAGATATAAAAGTATTCTTGTCTATAATGACTCAGGTATACACAAAGTCTCGCTCCAGGAGTGTCCTGCCCCAAAATACACTTCCCTTTGTCTCAGACATTTGCCATGTGCAGAGTTCAGGTCCGCTCGTGCTTCCCTAGATGTACTACTGCTTTCTATATATCAACAAGTCAGATAACAGAGCCTTGTGTAGTGTAAACACAACTTAGACTTTGTCCGTCACATGGTTGATATTCTCATATAGAGAATGGAAGGGGGAAAGGGAAAAGAAGAAAACTTTCTAAAAAGGAAATTTTCACGAAGTAGAGGGAAGTGGAAAAGAGTTTTTTTTTAAATTTATAATTCTTTATTATTAAAACCTTTAATTTATAATATTTTATAAATTTTATTCCTATTAAAGTAAAGAGTTATCAATTTTGTTTTTCTAAAAAAAATATAAGTGATTTATAAATTTTATATACACTAGTTGAAATTATGTCATTTGGCTATTGAATTATTGTTAAATTTGACTAAAATTAATAATAAAAAGATTGATGAATTATTTATAATTGCTGTCACTCAGCATTAAAAAAATTGATAAAAATTGATAAAAAAATATTGGCATACTGCAAAAAAAAAATTTGATATAAAATCTAACAATATTGTGACAAAAAAATTTTTTTTGTAAAAAATTCAACAAAAAAATTGAAACTGTGATAAAAAATTCAACAAAAAAATTGATATTGTAGCAAAAATTTAGCAAAAAAATTGATATTGTAACAAAAAAATTTAGTAAAAAAATTACTGTGACAAAAATTTAACAAAAAATTATTGTGAAAAGAATTTTGACAAAAAATTCAATAAAAAAATTACTATGGCAAAAAATTCAAAATTTATTAAAAAATTACAAAATTAATTAACTAAATTATTCATTATTTTCCTCTTCCTCTTCTTTTTTCTTTTCCATTTGCTTTTCTTTTTTCTGTAAAGATCTTGACTTGACTCTTTTAAAATTAGCCCCAATTGGGTTTACCTTGTCAAATGTTTTTTGAAATTTATTATTATTTTTTTTTTAATCTAACTGCATCTCAAATTTCATTCATTCATACACTTTCCTCAATTTGTTTCTCACCCTCTAAATATATTAATAATTCCTTATATTCAATAATTTTTTGTCTTTTGAATTTAACTGTTGATTTTTTTCCTTTTCTTGTTTTCTTTTCTTATTCATATTCTGAAATTTTTTTCAAACTATATGTTCAATTTAACAAGTCTTTTGGTGACATCACATTATAAAAATATAAATCATCACAATATTATTTATGAATCAACTGAAACACTTGAATTGATTTCAAATATTTATCTAAATATTTCAATAAATCCTTTAATTATAAATAATTATGATTAATATTATAATTATTCAATATAAAATATTTTGCCAAAAAGTATTTCTTCAGAACACTAACTATGATTATATACATTTATTTTTTTTTTAATGAGGTTTCTCAGATCAATCTCATTTCTTTAGATAAATATATCTTTGTTTCTTTAATTACATAAGTTAATTTGTTCTGATATTTGACAACTTTCTTTGACATTTATTTAACAAATAACTGTACACTTTTAATTCTTTATATCCTTTTTTAATTATTTATTAAAAATTAAAAGTAGTATAAATGCAGAATATTATTAATTTTACTTTATTTAATCAATTATTTGCATATAAGTAATGATTGTTTACTTCTAGTTTTCCAATTTCTGTCTTTTGATATTTTTCTTTTTGATGGTGATATAAAGCATCTAACTATTTGTTTATTTGCTTTTGTGAGTGATTAAAATATAGGATCATGGATTTTATTAATTTAGTTTTTAACTTTTATAATATTTTTTTATTCACATCCCTTGAAAAAACTTTGTCTACCCTTAGTTTATATTTATTGGAAATGATTTTTATTAAGGTCTTTATTTCTACTCTCACTTCTTTTAGTTTTAGCTCATCTTTGATAACCAGTTTTACTGGTTTTGTCTCTTTACTACTCCTCCTAGATTGAATTTTTTAGTATTTTTCTAAACTTAACAAACTTTCAGATTTTGATATATCAGTTGCTCTAGATTTTACAACAACTATAGGATCAAGTTTAAGGTTTACAGATTTGATCTGATCAATTTTCTTTTTTAAATCTTTTATTTCATTTTATTGCTATTCTGATTCTTTGGAAAACTTGTTAATATATTCTATTAGATCTAATTGGTTTATAAATTTAGCATTTTCTCTTTCTAGTTTTTTGATCCACGTACATAATTCTTCATTTTCTAAATAAATTCTTTGATTAATGAAGATAAATTTTAATAATTTGATAATAATTTAATTCTAACTTTTTTTAATATCCTTCCTGGTTTGAGTTTCAGATGGCAATTCAACTTCCAGCATTGATTTGCACAACTTCAGATATCAATATTTCAGACAATATAATAGATGACCTTCTTTTAAGCAATTTGACAGTTATAGTAAAGATTGAAGATTTGGTATCAGGTGTTACTAACAAACTATTGCCACTTCTGATATAATTGATGTGAAAGAAGTTTGAATAACAGGAAAGGTTGTAAAGATTGCAAAAGTGAATGGGGCTGTTCTCTATAAAAAGTGTATTAGAATAATTTTTTTTGTTCAGATATTTTAGATATCAGAAAAAAATACAAATTAAAGAAATATTTAAATAAAATTATTTATATTGTTTTAATCAATTCGGGGCTGTATATAATATTATACTATTATTGGTTATATTATATTACAATTCGAAGTCACATACTATATTATACTATATATTATTTATCATATTATATTTGTATTATATTACAATTTAAAGCTATTTAATATATTAATCACAACTTTGCCACTTTATATTACTAATTGTCAATTTTCAAAATATCAAGAAAGCATTCAATTTTAACTTTACTTAACTAAAGTTTAAGAAAAAAACCTAAAAAAGTGAAAATTACTTATAATTGTAATAAATACAATGAATTATTTATTAATCTACAAACAGAATTTTCCCATAGATATTAAAAAATAAAAGGTGAATATTTGACAA